TATATAATATATATATATATATATATATATATATATATATAGAAACATTTCAAACAATTTTTTAAGTTTAAAAGATTTTGAAACTATTCCCTACTTCAAATGTCATTAAACGTATGAAAACGTTATGTCGGGTTGTAACAAACAATGAAGTGAAAGCAAAATATTTATCACTTGGGTTTAAACACAAAAATGAAGATGACTCTAAACTATGAACTATCACAGATTTAAACACAAAAATTATGATGTGTCTAAACTATGAACTATCACAGATTTAAACACAAAAATTATGATGTGTCTAAACTATGAACTATCACAGATTTAAACACAAACATTGTGATAATTCTATGAAATAAACTATCACAAACTTAAACACAAAAATTATGATGTGTCTAAACTATGAACTATCACAGATTTAAACACAAAAAGTGTGTTATTTCTATGAAATAAACTATCACAAATTTAAACACAAAAATTATGATGTGTATAAACTATGAACTATCACAGATTTAAACACAAAAATGATGTCTTTTAGCTGTGAACTATTACAGATGAAAAAAAAATGTACAGCTGCTAGAATAAAGTAATAAATAACTCGTCTAACTCACCTTGACGGGAGACACTCTCGCACCCATACTCTCTAGCTTCTTCGTTTGCAATAAACGTTATTTGGCGGTCTGGCAAAAAAGTCCATTTCTAGGCTAGGTATAAATATACAGAAATGTTGTGGTCCATTGCGTTTATGAATGCACGTGACCTGATGGTAATAGACAATGAAAGAAAGAGAGAGAATCAATATTACGTCATTCCTAGTGCTAAGTGGAGTCAAGGTCAGGTTATCTAAGGTATTTTCCTGGTTCATTGAAGCCAATAAAAAGGTCACTTGAAGTTAAGTACATGTTAATTCGTAAGATAAGATGGTAATTCACATGCTGGTTTACTTCTGTCGTATTTCATATTCTATTATTAAACATACCATGTAGACTGACGAACATGTCGATGGACCCTCTCAAAGGCTTTGGAAAGGGAAGATATTTCTAACCGAACATGAAACAAAGGAAAACAGAGAAATTGAGGTTGAAAGGGGCGTTTTAACACCGGAAATGATGATTCAGAGAAAATAGCATTTATATAATAATAATAATCTATGCATATAGTAAGTTCATCAAAACTTTACTGCCTGTATTATGGGATCCTCTCGACCATGAACATTAAAATAAATTCTTAAAGACTTGAAAGGAGCGTAGAAATACATACACATGTATAACCAACACAAGAAAATTAACAAGATTTTATAGTATTGAAATTGATCTTGAATAGAAATGAAGGAATTTTAGAGAAATTTTAAAAATACTGTACGTGATTCACCAGGATTTATAATTCAAATAGTATAGTTTGCATGGAACAAAGTTAATTCTACCTGATGATGACAAAACCTTGTCGAAACGTTGTACATGTTAAACTTATATTAAAGTTTTTCTTCATTGCCCATTCAACCCGTCTCCAGCCATTAAAAGTTAATTCTACCTGATGATGACAAAAACCTTGTCGAAACGTTGTACATGTTAAACTTATATTAAAGTTTTTCTTCATTACCCATTCAACCCGTCTCCAGCCATTAAAAGTTAATTCTAACTTATTGGTGGGAACTTAGAGCATTACCAAGACGGTTGATTATATCATTAGTTTGAAACTATTTTACACTATTTTCCATTGTCTTGTAGGCTTTAGTTTCGTAGTGCTTTCTGGAAGCTTTTTAAAGTATCGTGTTTTTGATTGGTTAGGAGCTGATCTGGATTTTGTTTAAACTTATAAAGCGAATGTTGTTTTTAACGCATTCTGTCCATCGTGGGGTACTGAACCCCGGATTTTAGCATTGTAAGTATGTAAACTTATCTATGACCCACAGGGGGAAGGGACTGCCCATAAAGTATTTTTTTTTTATTTCAAATATTTATTTTAAAGATAGTTCTTCGTCGAATAATAATAAACATGTATCAGAAATTATAACGATGTCTAATAAGTTTAAGTGGTACTCAACATCATGTTTATTTTAATTTCTGTTTCTAATAACTAATTTCTTATGTTAGATACCTACTTAGAATTAGTTCAGTCTTTTAGAATTCGCGTAACTTCTCATTCAGCAAAATTGTATCTTGTTTAAATTAGTTGTAACGTTCTCGAACATCAAGTTGTAATCTATCTGAGTTTGGTTTGAATTTCGCCCGAAGCTATACGAGGGCTATCTTCGCTAACCGTCCCTAATTTAGCAGTGTAAGACTAGAGGGAAGATAAGTAGTCATCACCTTCCACCGCCAACTCTTGGGCTACTCTTTTACCAACGAATAGTTGGATTGACCGTCACTTTATAACGCTCCCACGGCTGAAAGGGCGAGCATGTTTGGTATGACGGGGATTCGAACCCGCGACCCTCAGATTGCGAGTCATGCGCCCGGACCACCTGACCATGGTGCGCTTAATCCATCTGGACTTTCTCCAGTTTTTCTTATTTGTCTCTTCATATTAGGAACTTTTTGTAAATATTTCAAGTTTTTGAAGAAAATAATTAGGGAAAAAGATAAATCTTTAAAATAGTGGTTTTAGATAGGAACGTAAAAACTTGGCAT